TCTTGCCCTCAAATACCTAATACAGGGGACATGTCTTCTGCTGCAATTGGTATTGGAGCTGGTACCATTTATTAAAGGCAATTCAGTTATGAAGCTTCATTTATTAAAACAGTGTAGTAAATGTGTATGTATGGACAGACAGATAAATGTAATAGAAGAGCAAGTCCAGATGTAGACAGAAATCCATACAGAAATAGAGAATGGGACAAAGGAAGCATCTCAATGCAGGGTGTTCAGACACCTGGCCGATCATCTGAAAACTGAAAGAATAAAATTTGCCAGGTGTGGTGACTCACGCCTGTAATCCCAGAACTTTGAGAAGCCAAGACAGGTAGATCACCTGAGGTCAGGAGTTTGAGACCAGCCTGGCCAACATGGTGAAACCCCGTTTCTACTTCTAATTTGTGAGTTTAACCAGTTCACATTGATAAGGATAACAGAAATATCTGGGCTTATTGCTGCCATCTTTTGTGTTATACATATACCCTTGGGATGGATATTCCCAAGGGTCATGGACTGGGCTGTGACTACTCCAGGCCATGAGATAGGAGCCACGCCTGGAGGGACTTTCACAAAGGACCTTTGGGCCTGCTGGAGTGCAACTATGGCAAGTGACCATGGCAGAGACACTGGCCACTAGCCATCTCTGCTCCCACCACAAAGCCTCATCCAGATAGCCCAGCATCACTCTTCCTGGGGCTGTGCCCACTGCCCTGGCTCTGTCTGCTCATGGCCCTGCAGACATCCACAGGACAAACAAGGAATCTGTATGAAATCCATACTGGCATCCATCCTGGTCCTAGGAACAGCAGGAGCACAGAAGGAGAAGGACTAAGGACTCCAGCTTATATGACCTGTGGAAGATAGGACAGGGCCAGTTGGCCCTTCCCTATAGGGCCCGGTAGCACACAGCTACTCAACGACACATGTTAGCACACAGCTACTCAACGACAAATATGAACCTGGGGGCCAGGCACGGTGGCTCACACCTATTATCCTAGCATTCTAGGAGACTGAGGCAGGCAGATCACCTGAGGTCGGGATTCGAGACCAGCCTGGCCAACATGGCAAAATCCTGTCTCTACGAAAAATACAAAAATTAGCCGGGCATGGTAGCGTGTGCCTGTAATCTCAGCTACTCAGGAGGCTGAGGCAGGAGAATCGCTTGAATCCAGGAGGCGGAGGTTGCAGTGAGCCGAGATTGCGTCACTGCATTCCAGCCTGGGTGACAGAGACCCCATCTCAAAAAAAAAAAAAAAAGAACCAGAGAAGGGAGCAGTGCACTAACCCAGAAACCAGCTGGAGGGAAGCAAGAGGCCAGCAGAGAGCCAATCTACACTTTGATGTGGCATTGCTGCACCTGTCATGAGGCCTGCACCCACCTACAGATCCACTGTAGTCAAGGTAGACAGGTCAGTCCTAAACAGAGCATTATAGCACCCTGGGAGGTGGGAGTCTCTGCCACAGGGGGGACGTGGGCTAGTGTCCTCAAGCAGAAAGGCTCTTCAAGGTCCCATGCAAAGGTTGGCATCCAATCCCACAACCCTCTCCCAAAAAGAGGAGCATTTTGGTCCCCCCCAAAAATTGTTTCTGGGTCAATGGAGCCTGATGCCAGCCATCCCTTTCTCTACCACAGGAGGAGGAGCCAGCCACCCTTTTTCTTCCTTCATCAAGGTAACCAGCCATTAGCATCCAAGCCAAAGGGCAGGGGAAATACAAAGAATGTATATTCACATCAAATTTCACTCCATGCTTAATGAGGCTCTGCTCCTTATTGATAACGGTGACCCTGCAATGGGCCTCAGTTCTTACGTCTGTAAAACAGGCATAAACAGCTAGTTGCCAGCTGACAGACACCGGTTGCAGGAACGGCATGGGATAAGCACTCATGTGCATTATCCTTTCCTCCTAAGAAAAGTACTCCCCAAACGGCCGGGCGCAGTGGCTCATGCCTGTAATCCCAGCACTTTGGGAGGCGGAGGTGGGCGGATCACCCGAGGTCAGGAGTTCGAAATCAGCCTGGACAACATGGCGAAACCCAATCTCTACTAACAATACAAAAATTAGCCAGGTGAGGTGGCAGGGCATGCCTGTAATCCCAGCTACTGAGACAGGAGACTTGCTTGAACCCGGGAGGCAGAGGTTGCAGTGAACCGAGATTGTGTCACTCAACTCCAGCCTTAGCGACAGAGCAAGACTCCGTTTCAAAAAAAAAAAAAGGTTACCCCGCCCTGAACAAAGGAGAAAGGCAGAACAGTCCCTGGGACAAGATGGGGCGCAGGCACACCAAGGCCCTCGGAAACCTGGTCAGACTGATAGAGGAGTGTCTGTCTCAACTGGCCTGCCCTGTTCAGAGAGATGGAAAGCTGGGGAGAGTCTTGATCTCTCGGGGGTTCTGAAAGGCCTCCTGGTGAGGGATGGTGAGGGATGGGGTTCCCTGAGCCCTGAAGCTTATTATCCCCCCATGGGAACACACAGAACTCCCCGGAACCCCCTCATCAGTCCACAGAGAATGCGTGAGCCACCTCTGCCCTCTACTGGCTGAATTTAAAACTGCAGCCAATTGAAGGATGTGCAAAGAAATGTCACACATCACTCTCCCTGTTCATTGATTCCTCATCCACGGAGAGCTGCTTTGTATCAGGTGCCAAGATAGGACGGGAGGCATAATTTTAATTCTCGGTGTCTCCAAGGCTGTATCTGCATGAATTCTCCCGTACTTCCCCTGCTTCCCAATGGCCTAGTCTGATAGGAACAGAGTCTTCATCTTTTTTCATGGCTCTTCTGGCTGTCTCATCCTTATTTGTCCACAGAGGCCAGCTCAGTTCTGTGTCCCTGGAGAAGGATGATGTGAAGCACTATCCATTGCTGAGCATTTGCTAGGTCCTAGGCACTAGCTAGACCCTTTCTGTCTACCATATCCCTCCCAAGCTCACTGCAAGGCAGGGTCCATCTTCATTCCCTTGTAACAGCTAGGGAAACTCACTGTTCTCAGTGAGGTTCCACAGATTTTCAGAGGTTGCATGGCCTGAAGATTCTAGAGCCTGCTTCAAACCTTGTTCCCCCTGACCCCAGAGCCTCCGTTCAGGTTTCCCTGAAGATGCCAGAGCATGCTCTGTCCGCAGTGACCATAGCTATGCATCAGGCCCTGCCTGGTGAGGTTCACTTGGCCTTTCACACTGCAAGGTGGACCTGGTCTGAACCTGAGGTCCTAGGATTGCTCACTGTATCACCCTGAGGCTCCAGCCTTGTTCTTTACCTATAAGGCGTGTATATCTATCCCTGGGCATGCTTGATCCTGGCTCAGCACGGCATCCCAACCCCTAGTCCTCAAGTTGCAGACACCGCAGCGCTCCCAGGCTGCCCTGAGGCCTTTAGCACATGCATTGTACAGATGGTGATGACACTGGGGCAGGCTTTTTACCCCAGATGAAGAGTCTGAGGGCCCAGCAAGCCAGATGCCCTGGTGAGGAGGACTCCCAGCCTGTACCAATCTCTCACCACCTTGAACAGTTAAGCTCAGTCCAGCTCTGGCCAGGACCTCAACAGCCAGGGGGCAGCAGCCCTGCTGGGCCCAGACCAGGAGCCACCTACCCTTCAGAATGTCAGCACAGCCAAGCCATTCTTTTACATTTATGGAGACTGACAACTAGCCTCCACTGTTCTCTTATCACTGAGCAACACAGGAGCATTGGCAGAGAGGAAGTGTTCTCATATTTCAAATGTTTCTGGTGGTTGAAATACTCCCAGATAATAGCATAGTTTAGGAAATAATGGACTACATCATAAAATTAAAATTAACTTCTTCTGTTTTCTAGAACTTTTAATGAGAATAATTTAAATAACCATTATTTACCAAATTTTATTCATCTATGCATAATACTATTGATCTATCATTTGACGAAAAGTAAAACACATATAAAAGAGGTTTTTAAATTAAAAACAAATACAAGGGGACTTTTAAAAGTTTGTGGGAAAATGAAATTAAAAGACAAGAATAAAAAATATAAACTTTATTTCTCTCAAGTTCTATCAAGGTCAAGATACTTTTGTTTAAGTGATGATATCATCCATTTTGTCCATCTCCAAAGAAATGAGGATCCTGGGAATTGATGTCAAGGCAGTCTTTCTCACATTATTAAATGGAGAAACACTGGTCCCCTTTAAATAATTTCTTAAGATTAGGAAACAAAAAGAAGTCATAAGGAGCCAAATCAGGACAGTAAGGTGGATACCTAGTGATTTCCCATTGAAACTTGCAAAATTGACCTTGTTTGATGAGAGAAATGAGCAGGAACATTGTCATGATAGAGAACTCTCTGGTGAAGCTTTCTTAGGCATTTTTCTCCTAAAGCTGTGGCTCTCTTGAAACACTCATAATAAGCATATGTCACCGTTCTTTGGCCTTCCAGAAAGTCAACAAGCAAAATGCCTTGAGCATCACTGAAAACTGTTGTCCTGACCTTTGCTCTTCACCTGTCTGCTTTTGCTGTGACTAGGCCACCTCTGCTTCTTGGTAGCCATTGCTCTGATTGTGCTTTGTCTTCAGCATTGTACTGGGAAAGCCAAGTTCCATCTCCTGTTACAGTTCTTTGAAGAAATGCTTCAGGATCTTAATCCCACTTGTTTAAAATTTTCATCTAAATCTCCTCTCCTGTCTGCAGCTGATCTGTCCATGGTGTTGGGTCTTTTTCTGCTGCTCATCATTGGTCCTCTTCAATTAGGGCATGAACAAGATGAATATTTTCCCTCACAAATTGATATGGATATTCTGCCGCTGTGGGCTTCATCTTCCACATCATCTTGTGTTTTTTTGTTTGTTTGTTTTTTGTTTTTTGTTTTTGTTTTTTTAAAGATAGAGTCTCATTCTGTCTCCCAGACTGGAGTACACTGGCGTGATCTCAGCTCACTGCAACCTCTGCCTCCTGGGTTCAAGTGATTCTCCTACCTCAGCCTCCCAAGTAGCTGGGATTACAGGTGCATGCCACCACACCCAGCTAATTTTTGTATTTTTAAAAGAGATGGGGTTTCACTATGTTGGCCAGGCTGGTCTTGAATCTCTTCCTTTCTTAAAATGTGTTATTCATTTATGAACTGCTGCTTTTTTTTGCGGGGTGGGGATGTTGTCCCCATAAACTTTTGGTAAAGCATCCATGACTTCACCATGCTTCCACCCAAGCTTCACCATGAATTTAATGTTTGTTTTTACTTCAATTTTCACAGAATTCATGTTGCTCTGATAGGCGCTCTTGTCAAGCCAATGTCTGATCCTTCTCAGTGCCTCAAACTAGACCCTATTCAGAAATATTATAACAAGTTGGTGTGAGTTTATTTTGGTACAAAAAAATGTGAAGTCCATGCACAGTTTTTTCATAATATACATTTTCCATGAATTTTGAAGCCCCCTCATAAATAATTCAAACACACATTTGGGAAAATGTGAGAAATCATGTAAGGCCTGGTGGTAATGGGGCATTTGGACTAGCAGGGTCATATGGTGGCTCAATGAGAAGCCAGAAAGCAACTCCTTTCCATTTTCTGGGTGGGGGCTCCAGCCCCTGAGTGGGGATAAGGAGGATAGCAGCCCCTCATGGAAGCTGGCTCAGGAGTTCACCCAGGATTCCTGGAGAAGGGGACAAAAGAGGACGTCTCCTTCCCACAAACTCCACATTTGAGTTCACTGGAAACATAGGCTCTGGGAATGGAAGAGAAGAGGGCAGGGGAAAGGCTGGTAGCTGAGGTGGGGTATGAAGGGAGGGGAGTGACAGAGGAGGCTGTGTCCATGCCTGGAGGTCAGAGGGCAAATGCCCCCAATCACGCTCCATCTGGGTTATCAGCTGCTTGAGGATCCACGTCCAGAAACTCGGGGAATCACTGTGTCCGTTTTCCTTGCCTCAGGACTGTGCCTCTTGTCTGGAGATGATGATGTTTCTTTCAGCCTCCCATGCTCTCCACCAATGATCATGAGTTTCCATTCAAGGCACAGAATGTGGCTTTGAGAAGAAGAAGCAGTTCCCTCCAGCTTTTCTTCAAGAGCCTCAAGTCACCTTCTGTAGCTCCAGACCACAAGCTGGACCCGTCCAGGGCAGCAGGCACTCCTGGGCTTTGACCTCCTCTGTCCCAAGGTGAAGCTGGGTGAGGGTTTTACATTCCACTGAACCAGTGCTGGACTGCAGTGACACGTCCCTGATCTCTGCACAGAATGTCTTTCATCTCCTGGTTAAACAAGTCTGTCAAAAACAAGAGAACTGTCACCACACAATTACCATGACACCCTCACCACCTCCAAGGGTGATCCAGGCTGAGTGAAACTTGTGCTCACCTGCTTCTGCCACAAGCTCCATGGAGTCCGCCGGGTTCACCAATAAAGCAACTCATGCGAGGCTGAAGCTCCTCCCCTGTTTCCCAGGCTGCTGCAGAGCCTCTTGCAGCCACCATGGCCAGCTGGGCCAAAACACTGAGACCACTGACCAGGGTGCGCCCAGAACCACATCTGTGCCTGGCAACAGGGCAGACTATCACTGGAGAGGCATGGGGGCACAGCGACAATAGAGTCACACCCTCCACCCTGCCCTCTGCTGAACCCACTTCTGTGGACCCAGAGCACCCTCCCCATCCTGAGAGCACCCTGGTCTCTGCCCGGAAGGTTTCCCCTGGCTGCTGGCGTGGAGCACATTTATATCCACACAAAATAACTGCGCTCCTTACCAGGCCCCACGGGCCCGGGGTGGGACTTGGTGCTCGGTGGAAGGAAGGAAGGCAGGCCGCGGAAGGAAGGAAGAGCTGAGTGAGTGAGTGATGAGGCCCAAAACCATCCCTTGCCCTTCCTCAGAATTCACACTTCTTGTTCTCTCTTGTCAGTTGCTTCCCTAAGGAAAGTTAAAAATCCCTGTTCACAAAATGCCTGAAATATATAATTAAAAATATACATGTATATATTATATAATTTTAAATATTTAACAAATTGAAATAAATGCAAATCTGATAACATCAGGTGATCATATAACACTAAAATTCACCATTTTGGACTACAATGAAAATCTCAAAAATGTTTTTGAAAAGTACAAATAATAGAGATTATTTTCTATTAATAACCTGTCAATGAAACTAGAAATGAGTGAAAAATTGAGGAAAAGCAACCACATAGGCATTTTATGACTCCCCCATAAGCCATTTTGGATCCAGAAGCCACCAAAACCAACATGCAGCTCAGAAAGTTAAAAATGGAAAAGAAACACAAGGAAAGCAGAGAAACAGAAATGAGATCAAAACGAATTAAAATATCTCAAACTGTGAAGGCTTTGATGCAAAAATCCAAACACAATTTAAAAAATGGCTTCTTTCCTTTCTTTTAAAAGAGGAGCAGAAATATACAATTAAAGATGAAAACAAACAGAAAACCAAAAACATAGAAGAGAACTAAGTTCAGAGCTGCTTTGTAGAGCTCAGTGCTGGAGGTGGAGAGAGCTGGAGGTGCCGGCTGGGAGGGGCCGGGCAAGCCCAGGAAGTGTGAGTGGGGTTGGCCTGGTGGGGGTTGGGAGGTGGGTCCCTGAAGCTGCTGCTGGGTTACTTTTAGCCCAAGGGTGAAGATGGAACAGCCCTGGGTCATCTATACAGGTCGAGCCCTCCACCCCACCCCACCCCACCTACTCTCCCTAGGAGGGCATGGGTACCATGCCAGGGGGCCTGGAGAGGGTTGCAGAGCCCTGGAGGAGGCCAGGGCCAGGGACTGCCATGGGAAGTGGAAAGGCAGTGGCCCCCACTCTTCCCAGAGAGGCTTCTGGGAAGCCTGGGCAGAGCCCGTGAGGCCAGGACTGCCCCTCCTGCTGGAGAATACATGCAGTTCAGAACTAAAGGAATCGCATCGCAGAACTTCACAGCCCAGGATCCCAGGACTTCACAGCCCAGGATCCCAGGACTTCACAGCTCAGGAACAGTCCCTCCAGAGCAGCGGGAACCAGGCAGTGTCCTGGGCAGATCTCGAGGAAGTGGAGGGAGATCCAGCTGGCTCCCACTCTTAGCTCCCATCCTGCCCACAGACACAACCTGCTCTCTGAGTGGGTGGTCCTCCAAAGTGTTTTCCCCTGCCAGAGCCTCAGTTTCCTCCTGGTCACTTGGGACTCTGACAGACTCCGAGGAAGGGAATTCCTGTCCACTCAGGCTGCTGTGATTGGCTCCGCAGTTGCAGCCTTGGCCTGTGAAGGAGGGGGCTCCTCCCAGCCAGACCCTGTGTCCCAGGGCCTTTCTGTGGGCACTCCTGAAAACACCCTAGAGGCAGCCACCTCAACCCTGGGGCAGGAGAGAAGCCCTGCTTTGGTGGCCCAGAATGGATGCTTTCCTAAGATCCACCCACCCCATCCCCCAGTCCATTCAGCACACACTGACCTTGCCCTCCTGGGGTCCTATCCCCTAGGCCTGGGAGCAAAGTGTTTGTCTCTGTCTTGATGCCACCTCTGACCCCAAGGTCAAACTAGGCAAACATGACATTTACATTTCAAGAAGAACCACATTTTCACCCAGAAAGTTTCTACCAAGTTATACCCGTCAACTGCGTTTGGGGATGTCTATTTCCTTATATCTTTGCCAGTCCTGGATTTAAAAAACCTTTTTCTTTATTTCTTTTCTTTCCTTTCTCTCTTGCCATCTGTTTGCCAAAACACAATGTTGCATTTTTTAAAGTGTTTATTTTTTGAAACATGTACAATTGAGCAACCTTTCTCCTGACTTTCTCCATTTCTTTGATTATATTTACTTATTCCTATCCATCTAGTTTTTTTCCATTTCCTACTGGGGCTCGTATTGCTTTCTTATTGAGCTGCGGTTCATTCCATTTGGATTGCAAATATTTTCTACTCTGTCACTTATCTTTTACCCTTACTTGTGGCTTTTTCCTAATGCACAAGAAATTCATTTTTAAGAAATCAGATTCGGCAAGTGTTATGGAGTCAGTGTTTGTGTCCCCCCCAAATTCAGATGTTGAAATCCTAACCTCCCACGTGATATTAGGAGGTGGGGCCTTTCAGAGGCAGGGCCCTCATAAATGGGATTGGTGCCCTTATCACATGCACCCCAACTCTCTCACCCTCTTTCTGCCGTGTGAGAATGCAGTGAGAAGTTGGCCATTTGTACCCAGGAAGTGGGACCTCTCCAGAACCAACCATGCTGGCACCCAGCTCTCAAAATCCAGTTACAGAACTGTGAGAAACAAATTTCTCTAATTTGTAGGCCACTCCGTTTATGTTATTTTGTCATAGCAGCCTGAAAAGACTAAGACAGCAAATTATTTGGCTTCTGCTTTTCATCCCGTCCCATGAGAGTCACATGATAAGGGTCTGACAAACCTCCCATATCATAGGGACTCCGCTGTTGAGGTTGTAAACTCTCCTGTTCCCTTGGGTTGATTTCTTCTTCCCATTGAATTATTAATTTACCCACACTGTTCCACATTTGAGCCGAAATGAACCAAACTCAGAACACAGTCCTTGTTCCTTCTTTCTCCAAACGTTCCTCATGGAGGCATTATGGTAGGAAGGAAGAAGACCTCATAGGCCAGGGACCAGGTGTCTGTCACATTGCCTCTTACGCTGTGCCTGAGTCATACTTACTCTAGGGAATTTGCCACAGGCATGAAGTTATTCTAAAGTTCCCACCCCATGCCTTTCATCCCAACCAATCCCCTGCTGAGCTAATTCTTTTCCCTGACTCTCCTCTCATCCCCCATTCCTCCATCCACTTCCAACTCCAAAGCACCTCCTATACTTTTCAGACCAAGTTCCCACCTCCTGAGCCCCTTCATCCCTCCTGTGCGTCTGCCCCTCATTGGATGTTGCCTTTCTCTGGGACCTCTGACACGAGGTGTCTCCCTCATTGGCATGCCATGGTTACTTCTAGGGCTGAAGCAACTAAAATGGAGAGTGATCAATTGTACGGAGGCAGACATTTAAAAATAATAATAAGTACTGCATTCATTCACTCCAAGAAAAGTAAAAGCCAAGGCCCAGAGTGTGGCAAGGCAAGGGTTAAAATGAAAAGACAAGTTTTCCTCTGCCTAGCAAGCTCACTTCAAGGACAGTTATAAGATAACGCTGTTCGAGAAGTTGAAACCAATGGAACAGGCTCCAGACACCCCACCTCAGGAGCAAGGATGAAGGAAAAGAAAAAAAAAAAAAAAAGGACAAATATTTAGCCAGTTCTTGTTTTTTCTTTCAATGTAGCTAGAAGGCCACCAGCTATGCAAGGCCACAAGTTATGCCAAGTCATCAGTTACGCTATAGATTACACGACCTGTCAGTATATGATTAACTGCCTTTGTTTTGCTTCTGTAAGTTTGCTTATAAAAACCCTGCTCAGTCTTTGTTCAAGGCTCAGCTTTTTGGATGTGAATCCACTGAGCTGGTGTGCACCTTAAAATAAATACTCTCCTGTATTCACCCATACTGGTCTCTCTAGTCCTCTGTGACCTGCAACAGCATAAATCCTTATAGTCACAGTGCTATGCTCTTAATAGGTGCTTTAAAAAAAAAAAAAAACAGCTCTGTGGAATGATTGACATTTACATCTCTGAGCAGCTGAGCCTGGCAAGACCTACCAAAGGGCAAGCAGGATCCTTGTATCTTGCAGAATTATCTTTGCTAAGAGGAGCTCAGGAGGTAGAACAGATGGACACACCTCAAATTCATTCTCTGATATGACCCATGCTACACCAAGCACCTACTCTGTGCCAAGCCCTGCATTGAAGGCAGGTGTGAGACGGCAGACAAGGCCAGATGACCTTGGAAACCCCAAGTCCTATGGGGGCAAGAGATATAAATAAACAAGCACTGACATCGATAAAGAATTTCAACCTTTCAGGGTAACTGTGTGTGATGATGGATGTGTTTATAATTTTGATTGTGGAAATTATTACACAGTATATACATACAGCAAATCACATTGTATACCTTGAATACATACAATTTTTATTTGTCAATTTTACCTTAATGAAGCTGGGGAAAGAAGTTTTCTTACTTGGGTTGATACATCATCTTCAGAGTGTAAGCAATAGAATTATTGCCATAATACCATTATTAATAATTAATGAAAATATTTAGTCATTTAAAGAACTACAACCTTTGATAGCCCAGTAGCAGATGGAGACGGCGTTGGGTGTGATTTATGGATGGTGCTTGGGAGCATCTCCCTGGGAGACTGGGAGCATCGTGGAGGGAGGCTTGTCAGCGGAGACTGCAGGGATTCGGAGGACCCCTATGTGGAGAAGGAAGGGAGAGTGGGAGAGTGAGTGGGTGTGGAAGGGAGAGTGAATGGGTGTGGGAGGGAGAGTGAATGGGTGTGGGAGAGTGAGTGGGTGTGGAAGGGAGAGTGAATGGGTGTGGGAGGGAGAGTGAATGGGTGTGGAAGGATTCAAGTGAAAGGCTCCAAGGAACATCATGTTAAACACTGAACAAGAAACTAAAAATGGAATGGAGTAGAAAGAGAGGCTATCAAAGAAGGGACTTTTTGGAAACACAGAAATTTCATCTGAAGCCTGCAGCACACCCCACACCCATGGCAGAACGACACCCATGACAGAACGACACCCACACCCATGACGAATGACAGGTGCAAAGACCCTGAGCAGGAATGAGCTTGGCCTGTTGGGGGAAGCTAAAGTGCCAGGGAGTCTGGAATGTGTGTGGCAGGGGAGCAGAGTCCAGGATGAGGGCAGGGGCGGGCACTGCACAGACATGCAGGGCAGTGCAGCCCAACACGCACTCTGAATGTCACAAGATGGCCTGGGGAGGATGACTGGGGTAAGAGATGGAGTCATATTTACATATTTCCCACATCATCAACCTCCATGAGGCTGAATTCACTGGACAGTCCTGGGCCTTCCATCATGTAACCCATCAAAACCATTTTGCATAGTTGGTGGCTCCCCTGCTCTAGAAACAGTGTTTACCTGACTTCCAGGGACCCTGCCCTCCTGAGTTTCCTCAAACTCCACTGGCCGCTCCCTGCCAACCTCCTTTGCTCCTTCCACATTTCCCTAACACTGTGACACTTGGCTTTGTGGCTCAAAAGTTGGTTCTTTCTTGCTTTCACTAATTATTTTGCATGTTATACCTAGAGTCCTCCCCCTACCCCAGGCAAGTATTCCAGTGTGTTTCGTAAGTGTGTCTGTTTGTATGCACTTGAGAAATGTGCTTTTCTCTGTAATGTGTCATGTTTCATTGTACTGCCCACCTAGTGTCTTCTCGGGGTATAGGTTCTGTCTCAAACAGGACTATGAGGCCCTTTGGCCTCATCTTCCTCTCCCCTCCCTGCCATGTTCTGGGTCTTCCTGGCACCCCAGATCAGCCTTGTCCGCACATGAGACAGGGGAGCCACACAGGCTTTGCCTCAGGCTGCACCAGGACATTCCTCAGAGCTGAGTCCTGTCCACACAGCCTGCTTGCCGGAAACCATGCAGGACCCATCTTCCTCCTGCTCTGATCAAACCCCAAGAACCATATCACCAGGGGCCATGGCAGGGATGATCTTCTAATGAATAAGAACCATTTGCTTGTTCTCTTCACAGCTGAACATGAGTGAAGGGAGATGTGCACCCACTTAAAAGTTTGGCTCTTCTCTCTGCAGAAGCCCCTCCACTCCCTCACTTTGTTCAAGTTCAGTCACTTATCCACACTCCAGACATGGCCTGAGCATGCCTTCAAGCCAGCCTCACAGAGACACCATGCAGGAAGGGCACAGGATAAGGCATAGGCAGCCTAAGGGCAGCAATGCGTAAGGAGAGCACACAGAATTCAGGGGGAGCCAGAGGTGGCCACTGCCCTTGGTCTTAACCCTTTTTGGGCCTCAGGGCCCTGCATGTAAAAATGGGCTTCCTAAGAATATCAACCCTGGTGAGATGTGGTGAGGAATGAACATGGCAGTGGTGTGGCTTAACACAGCTGCTAGTAACAAGAAAAACCTAGTCCATGAGACATCTGCTCCATGTGGACAGGAGGAGGTGACCCCGAGGGGAGGATACTAACTCCCTCTGTTGGTGGGGATGGGCAACCAGGGAATGCTACACAGAGCAGGTGTCATGTCTCTGGGGTTTTGCAGAGAAAAACTAAACATAGGGTAGTTGCTCCTTGAGCTTTTATTCACTGTTTTAGCAGGAACTATTAACAAATAGAGGCTTTAGTTTCAAACAAACAAATTGACAAAAAATATCTTATTTCTCTAGAGGGCAGGGAAAGTATAAAATTCTGAATTTTCATGTCGAGTATGATCCAAGTTAGAGGAACTCGGTCACCTGCAAACCTCTCCCTCCCTCCACGGGAAGGAATTTGAGGCTTCCTAGGTGACCAGGAGCCGGGCTTCTTTTGTTGCCTTAATTTCCGTTCATCTGAGAGAAAATGAAAGCCAGGCTCTTTGTGCTCCAAGCCAAGGCCCAGATGCAGGCTGCCTGCTCGCCAGATGAGACTTCCTGGGCTGCCTCTCCCAGCCTGAACCAGCACCATGCACCCTAGAGAGAGGCCGAGTCCCCACTGTTCCCCTGGGGCCCATGGAAGCCCCTGCCTGAGCCTGTGGTCCTGGGAGCTGGGGAGAAGGTAGAGATGCTGCTATCAGAGGTCCAGGCTAAGGACAAGTGGGGCAGGTGGGGCAGGTACTGCTGGCCATGGATGGAAAGGCAGGTGAATTCCAAGACCCTAGCAGGCCAAGGACTGCTCAGGCCCCTTGGGAGCAGACCTGCTCCCCAGAGACTCACCTGGCAAAGGCAGAATCTCTTCGTGACATCTCAAGCTTGTCCAACACCAGAAGGCAAGCCCCGCCTATTTAACGTGAGGCCTTAGGACCAGCCTCCCTGGATGGGGCATCCGAAGGGCCCCTCCCTCCCTCCAAATGCACTCAGCCTGCAGAGGATACAAGGGACCAGGGAAAAAGAAAGACCTGAGGGCCTCTGTATAAGGGGCTGGCCATCTGTGCTAGGACAAGTTGCTGCTTCTGCTACAGGAAGCCCAGATAGGACTGGACTGGACTCAGACCACTTACCCCAGAAGTCCAAAAACCCAATCTCTGCATGTCTCTGAGAGGTCAGGGGGCTGGGATTCTAGAGCTGCTGGTTAATCCCAAACTCCAGCCCATGCTGATGGTCCAGGTATCCAGCTTACCCTCAGCCATCTTCTGGGACACATGAAGCAAACAAAATAGCCCTATGGTTCCGTCTTCATTTTTCAGACAATTGCCCAGGGCTGAACAAGAGCTGGTGGGTTAATCCCCTCATTTCCAGTAACCTTGGGCCTTCAGGACAGAGTCCATGGCCTCATTTCTGAATCTGCTTTGTCATTGTTCAAGCCTGTTACTGGCATGTGACAACGATGGGGGAGGGGGTGTGTTACAGGCTCCTGAGTCAAAGCTCCTAGTTACACATCTAGGCCTAAACACGTGGCTATGGGACCCTGTGGAAGTTATCCAGCCTCTCTGTGTTTTGCTTTCCCCCATCTATAAATGGGATAATAAAAGGTACTACCTCATCATGTTGCAGTGAAGAAAAAATGACCCAGTCATTAGCTGGGTCCCTCGCACACTACAGGTGCTTAGGAGACATTAGTCCTGCTCTAACCCCTGCCACATGCCTGGCCTGGAAGGGGCTTTCTGGAGACCCTGGCTCAGGGCGCTGGCTGCCTGTGAAAGGGAGGCCCAGGAGCCCAGGTCCACAAGGAGCCCTGAGGTCTGTGAGATGTGCTGACCTCACCTGGCACAGACAAGGGGAGGGAGGGGGAGCTGGTCAGGGTCCAGCTGTTGGGGGAGGCGAGTGAGGGAATTCACTCTTGACGGGGTGCCTTTTCCACTAAATTAACATTGCCCCAGTCTGACGGAGCGGCAGAACACCATGCCCATCCTCACATCAAGAGCCAGCCTCCAGCACCAGGAAGCCCCTGCCTCCAGCCGGCCATGATGATGACAGAACAGGCTAAATGAGAGGAACCTGGCTTTGCCCCGAGGCCATGATGATGACAGAACAGGCTAAATGAGAGGAACCTGGCTTTGCCCCGAGGGTTGGTGGGTGGGGAAGGCCATCAGCAGCCAGGGCTCTGGGGAAGAGGAGCATGGCCACCAGGCACCTCCAGGGTGAGACCAGGCCCAGCTCCCCTGGCTCTAAAACACAAGCTTCTTGGGAACCTCCCATGGGAACTCGCTTCTTCCGAAATGGCCGTAGCATGCTGTCTTCTGGTAGATGGGCTTCTTCAAGTCCAAATCCCTGCATGTCCAGCAGAAGGGAAGGGCATTGGAAGATGGAACAGGAGCAGGGTTTCTTTCTCCATTTCAAGGACAGGAGGGAGCAACGAACTGTAGCACAGCCCTCCTCACATGGCACTACACCTCCCCCCAGCAGTTGCACACACACATCCTATCTGTGCTGTACCACAGTCTCGTTTTATAGCCCCACGGATGCTCAGAGGTTCACGGACCAGGACCTAACTCCAGCCTTCGGATGCCTTTCTCCTCCCACTCCACTTACCTGGCCCAGGCCAGTGTTGACACCACCAAGCTCTGGAAACAGGGAATAGACTTGCTGACTCGATTCCCAGCCATTTGAGCCATTTGGCCTTATATTAATAATTATTTTCCTAAGATCCCCGCCTGCCTCTCAGCTGCTCAGAGTTGGCCCCACCGGAGTTGGTGTTGACTGGGCCAGCAGGAACCTGGGGCAGCCTCCTTCAACCTGACAGCCAGGCTTTCTGCCCTGAGGATGCAGTGTGCTGTACCAGGAGCTCACAGACCCTCCCACTTCTGAGAGGCAGAAACATCCTCCTTTCTGCCTCCCTTTCAGGTGAGGTGAGCAACTGGGCAAGGAGGGAGCAAGGTCCTGTGTAATAGCGGAGCATGGCGCTTTACCTGACAATGACACCCGGCCGGAGGTCGAAGTTCTTACGCACCACATCCAGCAGCTCTTGCTCTGTCTTCTGAGAGGTTCCGTAGGTGAAGATGGAAATGGACAGCGGCTCGGCCACACCAATGGCATAGGAAACCTTCCAGCAAGGCGCAGCGTCAGGGACTGGAGCCTCTGTGTGGGCCCTGCCCCCTCAGCAGCTTTGCCCTTCTTCTGAAGGGACCAGCGGGGACCACATGTCTCCTGCCCAGCATGCTCCCCTGCAATTTTCCTGCTACCTTCACCGAGGACAGTTATTCTACGTGCCCCTCTCCCTGAAGATTTTAGTTTCCCCCCCCCCAGGTTTTCAGAGCCCTGGCCACAGTGCCCAACACAATCACACAATCACAACCTTTGGCAAAGCATGCGGCTTTCCCACCGGGCCAACATCCCCTTACTCAGGGCAGAGCTGGGCAGGGGTCTTCCGCTGCAACAGGACGGTGGTGGGTGGAGGGGCTTACCTGGACGAGCACTCTCCGGCAGAGCCCTGCCTTCACCAGAGACTTGGCCACCCAGCGGGCAGCGTATGCAGCTGAGCGGTCCACCTTGGTGTAGTCCTTCCCAGAGAAGGCCCCACCACCATGAGCCCCCCAGCCACCATAGGTGTCCACAATAATCTTACGGCCAGTGACACCCGCATCCCCCTGCGGAGGGAGAGAAATCAAGATAAGAAGCAGAGCCAGCCCCTAGATGCTAGAGGGGGCTGAAGAACTCTGATGGCAGCTGAACTGCAACTCAGGAACGATGTCCTGGGGCTGCCCACAGACATTTTCGTAAGACTCCTTTGCCCAAAACTCTGGACCCCACTCCCAGCTCAGTCACTGCCCACATACTGAAATCAGGTAACCTGCCAAAGCTTCATTAGAAAGGGCAGAAGGTGGGCCAGGGGTTCTCTGGGGTCACAGCCACTCCCTAATGCCTTTGTTACTGAGTCCATCACAATGCAGAGATCCAACTGCAGGCAGGAATTGCACTGTCAAAAATACAACCCTGGCTGGTGCCACCTAGCAAATGCCACGTTGTCCACTTCCCAAGTGTGCTCTGGGCAACACCAGTCAACAGTCATGTCTTTAAAAGGGTGGGAGTTCTATGTTATATGATTTGGGGAAGTCTGCCTACTCTACCCCCGCTTTTAGAGATCCACAGTTCACACTAGTATGTCTAGGCTTTGAGAAGTCCTGCAAGAAAAAACAATTAAGTGTTACCTCCTTCTACCCTGTATTTCTACATTCCACTTGCTCCTGGAACCCAGGATGGGGCTCAGCTCTGTGGCAAAGCATGCAAGCTGAGGGCCCAGGCAGTGGGCAGCAGCCTGGCAGCGGTGCTCTGCAACCTCCACTCCTCACACTTGCAGTACAGAAGAGGGGCCAGTGGCGCCCTGTCTAAAACACCCTGCCGCACCCGGGCACCCACAACAGCCAGAGGCAGCCTGTGGTGAAGATCTGGAAACAGCCACCTGGGAACAGCTGGCCATGTGCAAATGCTGCAGCGGGGAATGTGCACCAGAGCAGGGCGAGGTGCAGCGGCCATGGGTAAGGTCGTGGTCACTTGAGATGGCAGGAGTGGGAGGGCCCGGCAGTGCTAAGTGGAGGAATCCTAGGGATATGTCCCCAATTTCCCACACACTGTCAGACACATAGCAGACCTCCCCAGAGACCGCACTAAATGTACAGAGGCTAAAATTCACCAACTTTACATTTAGTCCATGGTCAGAGCCAGCTGACCCACTCCAAGCTAACTTGCGGTTTTCCTGCTCTGAGACATAAGCAACCCCAGTAACAAAGACAAACCAGGGCTTCGTTCAGAGACAAGGATGCACCTGGGGACCTCCAATGACAAACCGCCCACTGGGCTGCAGGTGGTAGATGGTGTCTTTGTCCAGGTACTTGGCCGGCACTACGGCCCTGATGACCTGCTCCTTCAGGGCCCTGCGCATCTCCTCCAGCGTGATGTCTTCGTTGTGCTGCACGGAGATGACGATGGTGTGGATGCGCACGGGGATGACTGCGCCATTGTCCTGCATGTACTGAACTGTCACCTGTCCATCAGAAGGGTGGGGGAGACACTGTGAGGCTGAACTGAGCGAATGGCACATGGTGGCCAGGCACAGACACCCAGGAGGAGGTGGGCAGGGCTCCCAGAAGCCAAGTGGGGCCTCCTGTCTTCAAAGGGTGTTGGGGGAGTTAATCTGACACATTCTTACATTCAAAAAATTGCCTGGTGCTGTGGGGGGACTGGGTGTAAGGCCCAGTTATTCCCACATGGGACCACAATTAGCACTGCTTGGAGACTTGAGTTTCCTCTCAACTTATGACCCCTCTTCTGTCTCAGACATTTCCAGGTGCCAGCAAATGTCCCCATGGCCAAAGCCCTTTCTTGACCCTCTATAGCCCAGGAGGTATCTCTCCTTCTGCCAATGATGCAGATAAGAAAGCCAAGGATCCAAAATGTAAATGTCTTGGTCAAGATCACACAGCTGGAAGAGTTGGGACCTGACCTGGAGCTGCACAGGCTGGTAGACAGGGCTCTTCCAAGAAGAAGGTTGGTTGCTGCTCAAGACCCTGTGCTGGCCACAGGCCCAATACTGCTGAAAGCAGCATGCACCCACAAGAGCAGGGCTCAGAGGATCTTAGGAACATGTGGTGCCTGCAGGGGTGCAGCTCTGCCAGAGGACCCTGGGAGGAACACTGGCCAGTGGGCATGGGACTGCTCCCATCCCAGGGCCTGGACAGAACCATGGGGCAGCAAACAGTGGCTCTCTGGGACTGTGCCTGCAGCAAGCTCTCTACCTCTCCAAGGCTACTCAGGTATCCATCAAACCCTGGATCTGTAACAAACTCCTACTCTGTGTTCTGCCTGGTCTAAGGAGCAACAGGGAAGGTCCAGAAGAAGCAGAAGAAAGAGCCCTGGCCACGTGAGAGCTGCATGAGATGGCCCGACGCACACAGATCTCGTGAGCTGAGAGCAGCCCTCAAATGCCAGGCTGTGCACACATAGGGTCCTGGGAGAGGGGCTGGAATCTGGGGTAGGACACTCCCAGGAAGACAGGCACTGTCTGTGACAGACTCTAGGACTGGGTCTGCTGCATGGAGCGTCAGGAAAAGGCGCACAGCCGGGGAGGGTGCTCAGGCCGTCTCCACTGTTCCCCTGGGTGACTCTATCCCCACGCAGTAGACTCCACGCAGTGGCCTTGCAGAACTGCAGAACAGGGTGGCAGAGCAAAGGGCCCTGAGCACAGCGCTTATCTCATCACGTCAGCAAGATGTGGGGAAAAACACACCATGGAAAACACAGCTCTGATCAGGTACAAAAATAGCCATCTGCACTGCCACCCAGGCCTCACTATCAGCAGCAGGAATTTGTTCAGGTGGAAGGACCCATCCTGCTCACAGCCAGCACTCTGGCTGGATAAAGACACTGCTTCACAAACAGGGTGCGGAGCAGGGGACCTAGACAAGCCGTGCCTGGCCCAGGGCCTCTCTCATGGAGGGAGTGAGTCGAGCAAGCCAGGCTGTTTGGAGGCCAGCAGGCGAGGGGCCTCCTGGAGCCCCACAGCAAGCCTGCACCCTCTGCAACTGGAGCTGGTCTGTGGTCCTGCCTGTGGCAGGGGAGTGAGGCTGACTCTGGTATCCGTATTGGCATTTTCAAGACAATTCTTCAAAGGAAGGGAAGCCCTAAAAGAGCCCATCCTACCCTCCCTTCCTTGCTGACCCGTAAACCTAGAAACCCTCTATTTCATATCTAAGCACAATGAACCTGCTTCAGCAGGTCCAGTAGGTGGTCCCTCTGTTCCTCTCTCTTGCACAACGAAGAGAAAAACAGTCAGCGCCATTGGCTGCCTCCCCTCCCTGTTCTAAGATTTCCCCTTCTGTGAATCTTCACCCTGCTTCTATGTTGCAGCACCATTCTAGTCCAGGACAGGACAGGCAGGCCGACATCATGGGCCCCTTTCTTTAGGTGCCATCACAATCTACATGCTTTAGCTCTCCTAACCCATGACCTCCAAGAACACCCAATGAATGCTGATGGTTCCCATCCCCCCTTGGGGGGGGTCACATGGATAACACAGGAAGTCCCAAGGAAAGGTTTCCTTTGGGCATAAGCACGCTTCCCTGCCCGAGTACAGCCAGTATGCAACCTCTACCCTGTGCATGGCCTGACACTTGCGCAAGAAGGAACTCCATCTCTGTATAGCTGGAGTTGTACATGGAGCCACACACAGCACGCTGAGCTATAGCACCATGGCTGCCAGATTCCAAGTGCAGGACAAGAGAAGGCGCTGTCTGCTAGTGGCCAGGGATGGCATCCCAGAGGAGGTAGAACTTTGCTGGCCACTCAAGGACAGGTGAGGACCAGAGAGGGAGCTCAGGTAAAGCAAAGCCCTAAGAAACAAGGGGACCATGAGCAAAATGATGTCAATGAAGCAAAGATGGGGTGGGGCAGGCAGAGGCAGGTAAAGTTGGAAGACCATAAAAGGTTCTGAATGCCAGAATAACAAGTGGATTTCCCCTGTCCCCTTGTAGGAAGCCAAAAGTTGTAGAAAACACTGAACAGATGTTAGGAAGTTAAAAATGAAGCCTAAAGGGAATTAACTGGAATTTCCAAGCAGGGAGAACCTTTGGGAGGGTAGGGCACTGATCCTGGCCTGGCTGGGATGATAGAAGCCCTGGGGAAGGCTGGACTGGAGTGAGAGGAGTGCTTGATGGGGCAAACTGGGGCAAACTGGGGACATGGGTAGGTGGAGAGAGATGGCACTGAACAGGATTGGGGAAGGGCAGGCAGGAGGTGGCAGGGTGCTGCACACAGCAGGCTCTCAGGGCCCATCTGCTTGGAGGGTGACCAGAGAAACCCACAGGCGGGAGATGTGGGAGCTGAGTATGTGAGAATGGTGTCCATGAGCATGGACACAGGGAGAGAGGTTGTGCAGGACAAAGTGCTGGGAACTTGGGAATCACAAGAGGGGTCATTGGGGTTAAGCAGGGAGGGGATACAGGAGTGAGGTGCTAGGAGGCCTGTGTCTCTGCTAACACTTGCATCACCCCAGCCTTCAAATATAGGCCTCCGGTTGATTTCAACACTGCAGAGAGACGAGAGGTCAGGGCCCATGGGGTTGGAGCTGGAAACAACAGAGGTAAAGCCTTTTCATGAGAAACAAAGATAAGAAAAAGGGCCATGATGAGACAGACGGCACAGACACAGCACAGACAGCCTGTTCAGGACAAAGAGGCCTGGAAATATGGAAGCCAGTTAAGAAGTACGTTTGTGGCAGGATTTGGGGACTCATTAGTCAATGTTTGCTAATGAGCAAACAAACAAACAATAAAACCCAGAACTATCCTTTCCATTTTTCTGTATTTTTGAAACTTTTTATAATAGAATGTGAGAAGCATCTCTAGCTGAAGATTTTTCACATAAATAGTTCTTTTCAAAACTGACCATTCTTTGATGCCTAGACTGAATATTTTGATCTTAAAAATGACAGAATCAAGAGGATTTGGGGGTGTTAAAGCTTCTGTCTACGGCTCTCCCGGGGTCATTCAGCTGCTCACCTGAGTCTTAGAGTCAGGGCGCAGCCAGGGGAGGAGGCCGGAGCACCTGAGGTCCGCCATCCGGGCATTGAGCTTGTGGGCAAGCATGATGGTGAGGGGCATGCACTCCTCTGTCTCGTCGGTGGCATAGCCAAACATCAAACCCTGTGGTGAGAGAGCAGGCTGAGCGGCGCCCACCCTAGACCAAGAGGACCGCGGCTCTCTCCAAGCCCGAAATCTGCCTGGTGTGTCCACGTTGATTGGGTGCCTCCTCCATGGAGCTTTCCACCGGCACGTGCAGGGGAAGGATGTCATCCCTGACCCCCAACACTCTAGGAGGGGGAGACAAGCCCAAACCCAGTGTTAGCAACCACAGCCATCCACAGCATGGCCGTGAAGCTGAGGTACCCAACTCACTCCCGGCTCTTGTGCTAGGATGAGAGTGATTCCTGTGTTATCCACCCCTCAGTGTGATTAACTCACTGCTCATGAACTTTCCCAGCCAGCTCAACACACAGCTCCCACGTGCAGTGGCGAGCTACCTGATCTCCTGCCCCGACATCCTCCTCGTTTCTGTCCAGATGGACGCACTGGGCAATATCCGGGGATTGCTGCTCCAAAGCCACCAGCACGTTGCAAGTCTTGAAGTCAAAGCCTAGGTGGAAGCAAAGTGAGCCTCAGTGGGGCACAGGTCAGATGGAGGGGGCCATGAGCTTCCCGATGGATGGCTCAGTTCCCGACATGCCATTTGGTGTCAGGGTGGGGTGTCCCTAACTAACCAGGGTCTGTCTAGGCCCACAGTTGAGGCCCAGGATGGGAGAGGCCCTGCGCCTTCATGTAGAACTCTTTGGCCAATGAAAATTCTCCATGGTGTATTTTATTGTGCTCAATTAGAACTTGGTTAACACACACACACACACATACACACACACACACCCTACAGAGACCTGCAGATTAAAACAAGGTGATGCCAAGGCTCCTCTGGCTGAGAACGGTGGCTGACTCATACCCTGCCCCTTAGGCTCTCCCCCAGGTGCCTCTCAGAACCCAGTTTGCTATCACTGCACTAGGAGAAAATCAAGAGCCCTTTTGACACTGTCACTCAGAAGCCCAGCTGTGTGCCTGACACAACTATTAAACATGCTGAACAAATACGGGGTACATGAACTATACAGACAGACTCCCCAAGCCAGGGTCCTCTGACCCTGAGAGGTAAACAGAGTCTGGGGCAAATGGAAAAGCCACCTGCCCTTTCCCATCTGCAAAGCTGAGGCACGGGGTATAGGCCTGCTACCCCTGGCACGCTGGGCACTGATTTGGGAAAATCTGGACTAGCAGTAGCTCAGCCCTGGGAGTCCCATGAGGAAACTGCTATGCACCGAGACTGTGCACACCTCCTCACAGCTGTGCTGGGCTCAGCCACAGGGACTGTGAGAATAAGGGGCTGAACACATGGATGCCCCCACCACGTCAAGCATAGTGACACACTCACTTTCCAAACTCCCACAGCCATGTTCTTTCCCATCTATTCTCCTACCCACACAGCCTGAAAGGACTTACAGAGAAAACGCACAGATCCAAGCTGTTGTTTCTGTACCAGCTTCAGGTGGGGATCTACTGCCAAGGAATAAAACTGAAGCTTTTCAGTCTGACACAGCCCTTGCTCCCAGGACTCCTTGAGCCAATATGAACTCAGGTTTAGCTGTCAGCATGATATACTTTTCCATCTCCACTAGGTCCCTGCCTAGAACGTTCTTCCTCCAGCTCCCACCCCACATGCCCAAACCCTATGTCCACCCTCAGTGCATGTCCCCGGACCTGCCTGCAGTTCATCACACATGATGCCAGGAACTTACCCCTGGGCACCTCATGTTGCATCATATACCCTAGGAGTATCAGGTCACCTTTGCCCTTTACACCTTCCTGTTTCCTAATGAATGTTTTTGAATGCACAAATCAATGAACAGTCTTTAAAGAACTGCCAAAGGCTGTCCTGTTCTGCACTGAACATTTCACAGTTTACCTAATCACTGTCTGTCTAAATAACGAATCTCCCCAGGGCTCAAAAATCAAGGAAGGGCTCCAAGGAATTTGGAAAAACAGAACTTAGGGGACCAAGAGGAGAGGTACAGGGCTTGGAAAGGACAATGAGGCCAGCAACACCACAGCCAGGAGCAATGAGGAGCCATTGGCCTGAGACCCTGCTAAAGCTGTTACTGCACATGACCTAAGGCTGTTCCTGTCCATCGAGCACAGGTAAATGGACAAACTTGGGCACAGGGAACCTCAGCCCGCTGAGCCCAACTCAGCCATGGCTGGGCTCTCGCTCATTTCTCCTTCCTAGGGAACATTGCCTCCTGGAAAATTTCCCTCCTACCTAATGCAGAATAAGTTTTGCACTTGAATAAGGTCTCAATGTACATAAACAAACTGGCTTTTCTTGGTAGAACAGGCTCCGTGTGGTAACGCCTCAGGAAGCTGCAGCTCTGGGACAATGTGTTTCCTCTGTGAATACCCTCATGTCCCCACCAGCAGAACTAACCGGCTCTTACTGCTTCTCTTCCCACTGAGTCTCAAAATCACTGTCATCTATTCAACCAACAGTAATTGCTCATGAGCGCTTTGGGCTGCGCCAGGCCGTGGCTGGACTGAACCTCTGTGAGTCTGCACCATCATACCATGAGTGGGCTCTCTCACTTATAAGGTGGGGGTCTGGCATCTCTACATACCCTGACCCACAGGATGCCACACATCACCCTAAGCAACCATTATGTGACACAGGCAGAAATGAACACCTTTAAAGTCATGCTTCTCTCTGTGCCTCTTGATTACAGGTGTTTATCTAGGCAGGTTGACCTGGAAGTGGGTCTTTTTACCATGGTGTGAGGTCACCACATCTCTCACAGTGATTTCAGAGAATTAGGGAGCGAGCCAACAGAGAGTCAAAATGGAGTTTTCTTTAAAAATTGGAATTGCCTGAACATCTAATGCCAGAGACCAATGTGGAGACTCTAACAATTGGGACCAGAGCCCTGCCCAGGAAGCCAGTGTGGACAAAGGGTCCCTGAAACTCCTGCAGAATGTGATCGCACACAGGCCCTCCGCACCTGGCGCTCGCTCTCTGGGTCCTTTGCTGCCCTCCAGGCTGTACCGCTGCCTGGCCTGCCCAGCCTCAGATGTTGGAATCTGCTTCAAGGCTCTGCTAGGGCCTGTGCCCCTTCCCTGGGTGGTGGCCCTATACTACGTGGCACAGGTGCTAACCTGGACCAGCCTCGTCTGCTGTCAGCACCAGTTCTGGACTGAGTCATCTTGCTCCATGTCTATGATTAGAAGTATGTTTAGTGGAAGCACAGGAGTCCGGAGCCTAGTGGCTGCTTACCCTGTGATCTCACACAGACTGTTTACTCCTCTAGCCCTCCATTTCCTCGTCTGCATAAGTACATAAATGATTAGGAAAACACAAGAGACTATCACCAGTGCCTGGCAGGGAGCATGTCTCCAAAGAAGGGCAGCCCCCTTTATTCAGTGCGTCTTTCTCTCCAAAGCCTTTGCCAGTGCCAAGAAGGCAGGACCAAAACAAGCCCAGTCAACAACAGAAGGCAGGACCAAAACAAGCCCAGTCAACAACAGATGGGCACGTGCTGGGCCTGCTGGGCATAGTCACCTGTTGGCCATCCTTATGCCAGAGCCTTTGACCTCTGAAACCTGACAGATGAGTGTAAGAGTGTTTTCCTCCTGGTAGTGTTGATACTCCCATCAGGCTGAAAGGCGCGGGTTTGACTCAGCATCGGGGTCTCTATTAGCAGAGAGTAACAGGGATTTCGGACCCGGAGGCCTGTCCTCACCCTTGGCCGAGTCATCATAGCCGATGTGCTTGATGGTGTCCCTCACCACTCGCTGGTAATCCACCATGGCCATTGAAGTGATCTCGCCACACAGCAGCACCATGCCGGTCTTGCACACCGTCTCTGAAAGGGAGTGGGGAGAGTTAGCAGCCAAGTGCCAGCAAAGGGAAGCTCATATTCCCAGACCTCTCACAGCGTGGACAAAGAAGACACACAAGGGGCCTTATGAGGAATGGATTCCAGAAGGAAAATAGAAATGTCAATAAAAAGAAAAAATCCTAGCACCAAGCACTGAGCATCTTTCAGTGCTGTCTTGGAAAGAGTCAGTTGTAAGTGGTGATCCTGGACAACTTATTTAACCCCTCTAAGTCTCTGTTCCCTCATCTATTTAATAAAGCTATTTATAAGATTGCTGTGTGGATTAAAGGGAGATGATGGTTGTATGTAGCTGTCATAAAGAACGTAGTCCACACATGTGACCCCCCATCCCCGACATTGCTAAACCTCCACTGCAGGCTTTAGGGAGTGGGATCCAGACCAAAAAAATCAAAGCAGGCCAACCTTCTCTCCAGATATTTACAAAAATATAAGGGTAGAATCTACCCTCAGAGGGGGATGAATCCCTGTAGTATTCAATACAGGGGCGAGGATGCAACCAGAGAGAGAAGGATGGGTCCGTGCAGTGGACAGGACATGACAATGACAGTAAGGAGAGCAGGACTCTGGTCTTCACACTGGGGAACTCTACCCCATGGCCTTGGGGCACCGTGATCCTGTCTCTAAAATGAATAGCCTGGACCTGATCACCCTGGGGGCCCTCCAGGCTCCAGAGTCCCTGACTCTGCCACTGTGCCATGGGCTTCAAGCCAGGCAAAAGTTTTCTCACCAAACAACTTATCCCACAAATAAAGATGAAGATCTTCAGCCTACATGAGTCTTCAGACACAATAAATTATGCAGATGGGAGCCAGGGCTTCAGTACTTTAGTTTAACATTAATGTCTCTTAGGAAAGCCATTGATTTATTGAAAAACAATTGATGAAGATGCTGCCTTCCAGTTGCTATTAAATGGGGGACACTAATTATTTTAAAACCTAAATCATACCACAAACTAGGAAAGAAAACAAGAGAAGCCAGGTATCTGTGCAGCCAACAGAGGCTCCTAGAATGAGGGCGCAGCTTACAACCATCTAGGCAGCTACCTGTATTTCCAGCTGTTTCATCGCGTCTGAAAGATTCACCTAAGAACTTTGAAAGACCTCCTTGTTCTCAATGAGATCAAGCATCAGGAAGGCCATGTGCTGGTCCAACCCTCTGCTATTTATGGTTGCTATGACATCTAACATCAGATTCTTGCTAAAAATAATTATCTATTTGTTTCATGGTTAGAAATATTTTTCCTCCCTGTTATTACAGAGGCGAGGTCTCATAATTGAGAAATCTACTGCAGAGCAGAGGACATGGGTTTTGGAACTGAGGAGTATGGCTCGTTTGTCTTATGCCCATGATTAACTTCTCAGTCTAGCCACTTAGGTCTCCAGCAGGAAGGGATCGGGTGTTTCTTACCACAGGCCACCTTGGCATTGGGGTCTTGCTTGAGGTGGGCATCCAGCACTGCGTCACTGATCTGGTCACAGATCTTATCTGGGCAAGAGCAAATATGGGTCAGAATCACAAAAATATTAGGGATAACAAATTGAAATGTTAAAATAATTAGATATCTTTTCAGTTTACATATCAACTTATCTACCAGAGGGAAAACACTTTTTTAAAGTATAAGAAATTAGAAACACTTTGAAATTTTTATTTCTTTCCATTCCTGCCTAATTTTGGATGACATGTATTATATAAAGTCACAGAATGCCCTAAAAAAGAAACAACATTTGTTTTTTTTGAAATGGAGTCTCGGTCTATCACCCAGGCTGGAGTGCAGTGGTGCGATCTCGGTTCACTGCACTCTCCACCTCCCGGGTTCCAAGCAATCCTCCCACCTCAGCCTCCCAAGTAGCTAGGATTACAGGCATGCACTACCATGCCCGGCTAATTTGTTTTGCATTTTCAGTAGAGATGGCATTTCACCACGTTGGCCAGGCTGGTCTTGAACTCCTGGCCTCAAGTGATCCCCCTGCCTCAGCCTCTGAAAGTGCTGGGATTACAGGTGTTAGCCACTGTACCCAGTCAAAATCAGCTCTTCTAGGAGTCTCAAGCAACTCACACATATACAAACACATACACGTTCTTCTAAATAAAAAGTCTCTCATTCCTCATCATGTTCCCTTTACTTCTAACATCTAGAAAAGTCCTGGAAATGAACTTAAAAATAGTTAAGAAGTCAATTTTACCTCTTTGCCAAGAGGTAAAGTCAGACGGCTCAAACAGTTGCATTGCATGGCAGGTTCCACAAGATGCAATGCACCGTATATAAAACACCACACCCAAGTACATGACTCCACCCATAAGAATTCTACAAGATATCCCCTATACATCATTGCTGTTTGCAGAATACTTCCATAAGCAGCTCTCAGATCCTCCCAAATGGTCACTCAGCCTCCTGAAAGCCAGGTGTCCTTAGAACTGAGTTTGACCTCTTCAGTTAAGGTGGGACTGACAAGGGTTCAATATGAGCTGGAATTTGATTTTATTCCTCCACTATTTGCCTTAAAGACTCTGCAGGGTCTAGAATGTAAAGCACTAAATGGTGCTTGTAGGAAAATCCACTCTTGCTTTGGGGTTATGCAAACTGTCAATATCTACAAATTAAGAAATAAAAGTGATATCTACTTACATATATTCTAGCTCATTCAGTGTTAAAAATACCCACAGTCTCCTCTTAATAGAGTAATATGTTTTTGTTAAGAATGCAGATCCAGAATCAAGCAATTTGGCTCTCAAAAGCAGATGTTACATTCTGTAATTAAAGATATTCACTAACTCCCTAATCTTTCCTTTAGAAACTACTGCTAAACATACGTTTGAGGTTGTGTTTTGTTTCTTTCTTTCTTTCTTTCTTTTAAATCTAGCCTCCTGCCAGTGGCAGACCCTGGTAGCACCTTTAGGTTTGTCTGAGCGCATCGCCTCTGCACACCTCTATCACTGAAGGCCTCCCGCTGATAAAATATCCTAAAATAAATACATGCCAGCCACCTTAGGCCTACCCATCAGGGTTCCTAGAAGCTTGTTGACTGATCATTGATTGTGGATGTCTCTGCCTGTGCAAAGACACAGCTCACAGGCTCCCACTCTGCCTAGGGAAATCCAACATGAAGAGGAACAAAGCTGGAGTCCAGCAGGGACTTCCAGATAGCACCACACACCAAGACAACAGCCAAGGAGGTTGCCTCTGAATTGTTGTTTTCGGTTTTGCCTTTCAAAATTTTTATCAATATCACTTAGTAGACTTAAGATAGCCAATAGCTGGTTGTTTTTTTTTTTTTTTGGAAAACCGGAAAAGAAAAACTTTATCTTTCTAGCAGAGAGGAATTCAGCAATGGAATGACAAGCACAAAGTCACCTAGCCTTTATGGAAACTTACCGGACAATTATAATGGCAAGTACAAGGGACAGTCAGACAAACTGATTGGCTGTCATTAAGTATACAAAACAATCAACTGATTGGCTGGCATGTTCATTCTCAGTCCTCTGAGCACACGGCTGCTGCACACAATGGGCCATCCTTGGGACCACTGGCCACTGCATGCCAAAAAACCCACTTCCTCCGCATGGAGTGAATCTTTTTCCTAAGCTATACATGAGGTTCACAGCCATGGAGCTGATCAGAATGTATCTGAGATTGAAAATACAGTACACCTAGATACTTTATACAGTTATGCACAATGAAAGAGGCTATTTACATTGAACTGAACTAAGTCACATAAAAAACTCAATTCGATTCAAGGTTTTTCAACAGCTGCACTATTAACATTTTGGGCCAGATAATTCTTTGTTGAGAGGCTGTCCTGTGCACTGCAGGATGCTTAGCAGTGTGCCTGACCTCTACTCAACAGATGCAAATAGCACCTTACCCCACCTCCTATAGTTGTGACAACCACAAATGTCTCCAGACAGTACAAAATGCTCTTGGGGGGTGTGGGGCAAAACTACCACCCGTCAAAAACTACTGGCTAAAGTATATGGAAGGAGTAGTGCACTGAGGTGTCCAAAGCCAAGTTACAAGGTAGGAAAGATAAATATCTTTGAGGAAGAACAAGAGCAAGGAAGATAGAAAAGGGCAGACTTCGTAATAAGTTAGCAAACACTCAAATGAATTTTGAAGAGGTACTTAAATACAGAAGTCTGCACATCTATCCCCCAGGGGTCTCCAAGAGCAGTGGTTCTCAGTGTGGTTCTCACCCCAGAGCATCAGCATCTCCTGGGAACTTGTCAAAAATGCAAATTCTGGAGCCTCTCCCAAGACCTACTGAATCGGAAACTCTGGAGGGTGGGGCGCAGCCCTCTGTGTCTTAACAAGCCCTCTGGGGGATTCTGAAGCACCCTGAAGTTTGAGAACCACTGTCCTACACTTGAGGCTCTGAATGTTCTGGTCCTAGTTCTCACCATCATCAAGGAAGCTTCTCTCACTTCCCCACATCACAGTCCACCTACTTTTCAGGCACCAAAATGAATGCCTAAATTTTCTTCCTGTTTAGAAGGTCTTCTATCCTGCTCTTAGAGAATGTCACTGAGTCGCCAGCACCTAGAGGTCTACCCCTGCAGTGACCAGGGTGCAGGCTTTCATGCCTAAGTTGCACATGTTTTACATGCAAAACTTAGTCACCCATGGTCTTGTTTCAGGAACATTCTCTGTTGACTTAAATTGGCCATTGATAACAGATTAAAGCTTTGCTCAAAAAAAAAAAAATACATATAAAAAGTTAAGACCTGAGCATACATTTTGCATGTGCCATACTCTTAGCCAGCCAGCTGCTACTCCCTGTCTTGGCCCCACCGTGCTGGCATGCTGGTGGTGGGCCACAGCACAGCTTCATCAGGAGGGACTGTTTTATGAAACTACTCCATGCTGTTTCTCTAGAGATCCCTTCTGGTAACTCACACACATTGCTCTGAAGAGTTCTAGGAAAAGTGACTCCTACAGGTACGAAGTTACAGTCAGATAGGAGGAATGAGCTCCGACATTCCATTGTGCAGTAGGGTGACTGAGGGGCTAGAAGAGGGAATTTTGAATGTTTTCACCACAAAGAAGTAGTCAATGTCTGCGGCAATGGGCATGCCCATTACCCTAATTTCATCATTACATGTTATATTCATGGATCAAAACAACACACTGTACCCCATAAATATGTACAATTATTATGTGTCAATTAAAACCATTTGTAAGCGACTCTCTCAGTATAGGCTTGGAATGATAGTTTTCCAGTCATTCCAGGACAGCCTACTTACCTGGGTGTCCCTCTCCCACAGACTCCGACGTGAACATGAAGGCTCCTTCTTCACTTATAGAGTGGTCACACAAGCCATCCACTGGTCCATTCATCTTCTCACACTTCTCCACTCACGCTTCTTCCAGGGAACAATTTTAAGGCTGTGACTTTGCCTGAGTTTTTTTCTTCTTCTTCTTTTTTTTCTTTTTCTTCTTCTTCTTCTTCTTCTTCCTCTTCTCCTTCTCCTTCTCCTTCTCCTTCTTCTTTCAACTCAACAGGCTTGTCTTTGGCAGAGCCACGGGGATCACTTCTGCCTAACTGCCTGTGAGCACGTGAGAACAGGCGAGGACTGCTGAGAAGGGAGGGAGCGAATGGAACTCAGGATGTGTCCCACCCTCCAGCTTGCCACAGCTTGCTCCTGAGCGACTCCTATATATGGAAAAGCGAAAGTGCCTGAATAATCATGTGAGAAAATTGGAGGAGTCCATTTCCTAAGAGGGGGGTCTTCTTACCTGGAGGAATTTCAATTCTTACCCCTGACTTTCCAAACTCTAAGCACCTGGTCAAGGTAAGGTAAAGAAGGCTGTATAGTTCTGCAGAATTGAAGCTTCTTTGGGACTCTCCTTCAGCTCTCAGCCAATCTCGGTAGTGCTCCAGAGTTCACAACTCACCTTGGAGAGCAGGGGGTCTGTGGTCACCCAGAGATACAAGCAGGCAATAAGAAACTCTGTCTCAGAGATATGGTTTAGGCTAAGATTGCAACAGTGCCTTTGCTGTTGGGTGTCCCCTCCTCCCCTGCATCTCATCTGGATTGGTCTCTTCCCCTTCTACCTTCTCAGGGAGAGCAGGAGCACGCACCTGTATTCTGAGCCAGCTGTGGTGTTACACAACAGATTCATTTTAGAGGAAAAGCTTTGAGTCCACGTGTTTCTGCTAACAGAAACCACCTAAACTGTCAACTTCTCTAAAAGGCTGGCAGGCATTTTAACAAGCAAGATCTTTAAAAAGTATCTATCTGGGGAGGTTACAGAGAACAATGTGTGTGTGTGTGTGTGTGTGTGTGTGTGTTTTAGAAAAAAATGCTTTTGAGAAATGGATTCATTAAATGGAAATTATCAAAGTCCAGTTTCCCAAAGCTTCCAGATGATAAACATCTACATATTCAGTTCTATACATGTAATAAACATCGTGTTCACATAACTCTTGCATTATTTTTGCTTTGACCAAAAAAAGTAGTAAACAGGATTGTATCTTTAGTTCATGTACTAAATGACAGTGTCTCACACTCTCAGATCCAGCTGCATCCTCAGACCCAAGGAACAATGGGGAATTGAGACCATAGAGAATGAGGATGGGTGGAGAAACCAGTTCCCACTAGAATGCAATAAAAAGTAATCAACCATAACCTTGTGCATCAAAGCTTGGACTGTGGGAAGCAAAAGTTAGGAGGCAATAGCCCCACCTAACAATTCTGGTGACCAAACCCCTCTCTGAGTTCATTATACAAGCATTTCAAAAAAATTTTTCTGGCACACATTCTGGTGCTCCAAAGCTTGAGTTCTGCTAACTGATGACCAGTCAAACATCATCCCTTCAGAGAATTAAAACGGTACTGAAGTGACCTCTTCTGGAATGAAGCAAGGGATGTTACATACGCATAGCCAATCAACGGCATTTAACAAGGAGTGAACTGAAGTGCTTAGGCACAAGACTTGAAAGTTCAGAGAGGAAAAGTCCACTGGGAAGGGATGGACAAATGAGGAATCAAACAGGGACTTTAGACAACATCGCCTTGTCATTGCCAGCACACAGGACCCCTCTGTTTGCACTTAAGCTATTTCAACATTGCTGGCCCTTAGTAAATTTCTTCTGGGTACATTAGTTTTAAACCTAGAGGCAATATGAGCTAATGTTTAATTTGAACTGTAGAACTAGGTGACCCTAGCAGTTAAAATTGTATGATAACAATTATGCTCCACATTTGATTTAAGAACAAGATGATGTGTAAGTAGCAGGTAGGTACTCTTCAAGGTTCCTAGAGCTATCGGGAAGACAGAAAACAAAGCAGTAGCTGCCTTCTGAATTCCATAAGTAACAGCACCATGGGGTGGAAGGCGTCAGGGTGAGGAGATGACCTGTACACAGATATGCGCGCAGGGGGCTTTGGCAGCCTGGATGCCAATTCAGGGTGTGAGGGAGGGATCTGAGAGGCACCTCGTTAAAAACCCATCTCAAGTATGAGTTTCATTTAAGACCCCAACTAAACACTAGGATGCCTTATATTCTAGCAAGTAAATGTTAATAAGCAGTGCACAGAGCATGGTGGATGGAAGTGCAGGCTTCTGGACTAGAGTCCAACTTTTGCCTATAACCTCCCATGCAGCCTGGAGAAGGCCTCCTGACCTCTCCAATCTGTTTCTTCTGCTGTAAAGCAGGTTAAATAATTACCTACCTCATAGTGTTATTTTGAGAACTAAATGAGGTCATTTAGGTATGATAAGTATTGGACATAGTGTTAGCACACAATACAAATTTAATAAATATTAGCTAATATTATTAAGCAGTCCATTTACACATATATGATTTTCTTCTGAACAAAAATAGATTATGGTATGTATACATATGTATATATAGGTGTATACATACATATACATATATAATTTTGCATCTTGCTCCTTTCCCCCCACAATATATCATGGCCCTCTGTTCACATCTCTAAATACAGATAGTTTTTTTTTTTTTTTTTTGAGATGAAGTCTCACTCTGTCACCCAGGCTGGAGTGCAACGGCGTGATCTCAGCTCACTGCAACCTCTGCCTCCTGGGTTCAAGTGATTCTCCTGCCTCAGCCTCCTAAGTAGCTGGGATTACAAGTGTGCGCCACCACACCCAGCTAATTTTTGTATTTTTAGTAAAGACAGGGTTTCATCATGTTGGTCAGGCTGGTCTTGAACTCTTGACCTTGTGATCTGCCCACCTCAGTCTTCCAAAGTGCTGGGATTACAGGTGTGAGCCACTATGCCAGGCAGGCCTTATTTGCTTAATACTTGAATAGTATCTCATAATAAGGATGTACCATAAATTATTAAACCATTCATTTCCCAGTGGTTAAATATTTTCAACTTCTCCAGTTATTTCACATCACTATTATGCTGCAGTGAAGGTCCTTATTCATCAGCATGTTTCTGAAAAAGATAATAATGGAAGGCTTTGGCAGTGCAGAACTAGCCAAAAGACTTCACTTTTGCAATGCATTTTACCTGATAAAAGAAGTAGCAATTCAATCAAGAGTTAAAATTGTAGTTTCAATCTACCCCCTTCAGAAAGAATTGGCAGATCTTAGCAAAGATGTAATTACTTTGAGAGTTGAACCCATAAGGACTTCCTGGCCCTAATTTACCATCATAAACACAAATTGAGTCCCCCTTACGCACAGCCTGTTCCCATCTCTCTTATGCTTGAATTGTCCCAATGCCCACTCCCAGCCCCAAACTCCACAGTGGACTGATTACTTAAGTCCAATGTGTCAAAAGGCACACAGTTGATCTCACTGACATGCAGCAGCCTTGAACTCTGAAGCTTCACTGACAAGCCTCTGGAGAAACTTGGCTTTCAAAATAAATATCTCTTTCAGTCAGATTTACCCCTGATGAATCTCTGAATATAAAACATCCAGTGGAAGATTGTTTCCAATAAGCAGTGCCTATAAGTCCCACTGAGCAGTTTAGTGATGGAGCTTTGAGGGCACCTGACCCTAGGCAGCACCACAGGGCTGCAGGGCTAGTGGAGAGGCCCTGCCAGATGGTACCCTTTGCTAGCTCTGCACTGCTGTGCCTGATGGGGAGGCCACAGGGAGGACCCTAGGTGCAGAGGTGGGGGATCCAGGTGTTGTCTAAGTGCAAAGACTTCTAAACTTTGGCTAGAAGCTCCTCTGACTTAAATGGCTAAATAATGAAATATTTGCAAGTGGATATACTTCTTTTGCCTCATTAATTTAAGCACAAACTTTTCCTATAGATGCCACTCTGGAGCACGAATAAGTTACAAAAGAAAGAGGAAATTGATTCAGATTGTACATTTTTGAAATTCTGGCAATTTCAACAATATATGACCTTCGATGGGTAAAATTCCACATAAGCACTTGTTGGAGCTCAGAAAACAACATCGCAAAGTCTGTCACCTTGGCATGCCAAGGACTTTGAACTGAAGGAGACTGAAGGGGCTTCAGAAGCAAGGTCGCTCTGACCTTCTCTCCCCTCCTCCTGTCTCCCACCCCTCTTTCTTCCCTGAAGCAAGTCATAGAAACCAGAATTCCTCTCCCCAAGGTAGGTCGCAGAAACTAAAACTTCTCTCCCCAAGAGCAAGCCATAAGATGTAGAAAGACCACTCTTCCCTTCTTCCTTGAAGACCCTCAGTCCAGAGGGTCCTGCTTCATACCTGGCAAGAAGGAATGCTGCACAGAGAGGCCAAGAAGAATCTGAACAGGCAGGACTTGCTGGGTCCTAATCCCTCACCTAGGTCTATTACCATTAGGTCAAACCCATTGTCCAATCACATGCCTACAAGGACTATCCATTCTTCAAACCTAAGCATAAAAGTAGACAGTTTTCCCTGGGTCTCTGGATCTTCATTTCTGAAGGCTCCTGTGTCACATGAAACTTTGATTGAACCTGGTTGATTCACACCCCATACCTCAACATCACTGCAATATATCTTAGTAATACATCTCCACATGTACCCACTGAATCTAAAAGTTGAAAAAAACAAAAACAAAAACAAAAAGGAAAGCAAAAACAGGTTACAAAACAAATTTTACAGAAATATCTTAATTTTGTTTATGTGCAAAATATATCTGCATAGACAAGTGAAGCAAATACATGAAAGCATTTAGAGTAGATACTAAAATAACAAAAAGAACTTTGATAAAATAAATTTGTTATGCTTTTCCCTTGTTAATCCATCTTTTGTTACAAGAGCATCAGCTGTGAACCTTATGATGGGTAAGGAAAGGTATAACATCTTTCCACCCCTACACACCCATATACAACTCCTATTCTGAAAAGGAAGATAGAAATGTTGAAAGACTTGATGGAAAAAGCAGGACCCAAGCTAGGGCCCAAAGGAATTACAGGACTTAGAAAGGAAACAGGGAGACAGAGAGGCTCTGGAAAGGAAAACTTCACCAGCTATGTTCATGTAATATAATGCAAATCCAGCTGTGCATTGTCATTTTTCAAAACTGTATTGTTTTTCTTAGTAGAATCACTTCTTCCCCCTACTTTTGAGGCTTGAAATCCTGGGAGGTGGTTTCAATTCCTGATTGTCTATCATCATATCCAAGTATCCATAGTCTGTTAATTCTCTTTCAAAAGTGCGTTGGAATTCTCCCCTCCATTTCTGTGTTGACAGATAGTTACCTCTGCACCCATCCTTATCATCTCACATTTGAGACAGGCATCAGCTGGGGCCAACTTCCCACACCAACATACCCTTCAGGGGTTGGCACCATGTTGCACATACCAGGTGTTTTAAAACTACCTGCTGATTCATACCTAGAAAGATGAGCATCCCAGCTGGGCACAGTGGCTCACACCTGTAATCCCAACATTTTGGGAGGCCGAAGCAGGTGGATCACCTGAGGTCAGGAGTTTGAGACCAGCCTGGCCAACATAGTAAATCCTCGTCTCCACTAAAAATACAAAAATTAGCCAGGCATGGTGGCGGGCACCTGTAATCCCCACTACTCGGGA